TATTATTATTATTATTATTATTATTATTATTATTATTATTATTATTACTATTACTATTATTATTATTATTTGATCTGTCAGCAACTGTAATCAGTTTACAAATTATTAAAAATATTTTAAAACAAGACAAAATATAAGAAGCACAAAACAAAACAAGACAAAATAAAACAAAGATGGCAGAAAGAATAAATCCCAATAGAAATAGGAAAAAAAGAAGAAAATGGGCCTCACCAACAGCCTGGGTATAGAGCCACATCTTCAGGGCTCTTCAAAATATCCATAGGATGGGATCATTTGAATTTGGGGGAGCCTCAGAAGGCATGTGCACCTTCAGAAGAGGCACACTTTTAGAACCTTGAACATTGTTTAATCCAGTGGTCCCCAACCACTGAGCCCCAGATCGGTACCAGTCCATGGATCATTTTTTACCGGGCCGCAAAGAAGTGGGCGCCGCCATCTTGTTTTGACGGCGCTTGAAAAAGTGCTTCCGGGTGAGCTTGTCGGTCGTCGGTTGGAAAGCGGCGTTTAGGTGCTGAAGGAATCCTCGCGCTTTAGTTTCGTCGAGGGGGGGGGCGGCTTTGAACGAAGAGCCGTCTCGATGGCGGTGGAGTCTCTTGCGTTAGGAGGAGATTAAGAAAGAGCCCGAAAAGCCCATCGACAAAGGTACAAAGGAGGAGTTGAAGATGGCGGGGAGAAGCGGGGGACGGCTGGCTGGCCGGTCGCTTGGCTCGCCTTGCCTTGGTCGTGCGTGCTGATGCCGGTACCGGTCCGTGGATCATTTTGTGATGCCGGTACCGGGCCGTGGGACAAAAAAGGTTGGGGGCCACTGGTTTAATCTATAAAGCCCAGAGCACATCAACCCTGTCAGCTCAAACCATCTAAACCAGGAAAAGAGGCAGCCCCTCAAACTATCCTCTATCTCCTGTCAGACTTTATAGATAATGAGAAACACTTTGAATCACACCCGGAAACAAACAGGCAATCGGTGCAGCTCACAAAGCACAGCTGTTACATGGGCAAATGAGGCGTGCCAGTTACTGAGAGAGTGGTAGTGGCGCAATGGTTAGAATGCTGTATTGCGGGCTAATTCTGCCAACTGCCAGGAGTTCGATCCTCACCAGCTCATGGTTGACTCAACCTTCCAGCCTTCTGAGGTTGGTAAAATGAGGACTGGACCCAAATTGTTGGGGGCAATGTGCTGACTCTGTAAACTGCTTAAAGAGGGCTATAAAGCACTGTGAAGCAGTAGATAAGTGCTGTTGTTATCACTATTGTTACTGCCCATGCCACTGCATTCTGAAGCTTCCAGATGGTCTTCAAGAAAAATTCCATGTGCAGAACAGTCAGCCACTATTAGCATATTAAGACAAATAATTATTTAGCAATAGCACTCCATAGTGCTTTATGGCACTCTCTGGGCACTTTACAATGTCAGCATCTTGGGCCCAACAATCTGGGTCCTAATTTTACTGGCAGTAAAATGTAAAACAATATTTTATAGTTTATCTAGGGTTATAAAAGTTCTAGTCAGACATATTTCATTTCCAGTAGAGGAGCAGCATTGATAAAATAAACATCCAGATTAGAAAATTAGCTCTAGCTATGGTCTACATATTTAGTCAGTAAGAATTGATACCAGTTTGATGGCACATAAGAAGATTTACAAGGGAAAAATGCTGAGTATGTTCTCTTATTGCTGGCTGACCTTTGAGGGTTGTCCCAGTTGTATTCTTTAGTGTGTGTATTTCACTTATGTTCTAGTGTTACATTAAATATTCATAACTTTATACGGAAGGATAAGTTCTCACGGAATATCAGGATTGCTGTAGTAATTTGTTAAGCACCAAGTTCCTCACTTTTGCAAATTAATCATACACATTCAGATAGTCAAAGAACCAAGATTTGTAAACATGTTAACTGAAAATTATTATTAGAGGTGAGCTATCAACAGTATGAAAAGTAATTGTATTACACACATAGCAATGTATCTCTTACCATTCTTTAATGTATACAATGTCAAGAAAGCAAATCCAAGGGTCTTTCTTAAGATTGTCGTGCAGATTTGTGTAAACAGGCCTATGTTAGTTCTATGAAATGCCAAACAGTTTACAGGGTACAAAAATATCTGAGAGGAATAGTTAATTTAAAAATGTTTTTCTGCATCCTATCAGAATTTCTATGTTGCATGGCTGGTGGCCCAGATTTGTGGCATGCTGTACAGAGGAGCGGTTATTTCAGAGGGGGGGGTGTTTACAGAAAGGGAAATACTTGCCTCAAGGGTGGGATTCAACCGGTGTTACTACTGGTTTGGTGACTACGTTTTGTACTGCGCGCGCATGTAAAAAAACTTAAGCTGTGCCACTTAAGCTGTGTGGACAGCTGTGTGGACAGCTGAAAAGCGCTGTCCGCGGGTGTGCAGCATTTGAAAAGCCTCTTTTTTCCTGCTTTTTCAACCTCAGCTGTGCCGCGCAAAGCTGCTGAGGTTGAAAAAGCAGGAAATAAAGGACAGGTAAGAGCCCGGGTGGGCGGGTGGGCCAAACAGCAGCAAACACAGAACCGGTTCAGTGTCTGCTGCTCTTCAGAGCTACCGGTTCTATAGAGCCGGGCAGAATCGGTAGCATCCCACCCCTGACTTGCCTAAATAAAACATTTTGTGGAAGTTACCATACCGTGCTAGGCATAGGATGTGAATGTATCACAACGATCTAATATTGGTGCTCACCCTAATTGGTAGTATATTGTAGACATAATAAAAATATTCCTTCCATTTATATAAATGTACTTATCTAATATGATTAGTGATGGACAGGTTTTAGATCTTTTTTTTATTGTGTTGGTCTACTATCTCTGTTCAATAATAAATTCTAAGAAAGGGCATTTCTTTGGAGATGTCAAAATAGACCTTTTGTTCTGTCAGTTTCTATAAGCACTGAATCTCTTCAAACCTTTCCCCCTTCTTCTTTCTTTCTTTCTTTCTTTCCTTCTTTTTCTTTCTTCCCAGGACGGGACACTAATGTATTAGTCTACATTAAAAGGAGGCTGGCAATGTGTGCAAGAAAACTGGGGAGAACCAGGGAAGCTGTGAAAATGATGAGAGATGTGAGTTTGGATTTGTGTTAATATTTGTCTTTTACGTAACAAGTCACAGTCACAGAGAGGAATTTCCCTTTGCTATAGAAGCAACCTATCTACGCAAAACGCTACTGATATCTAGAGTGCTTAACCTGCTTTCTTTTTTTTCCTGGAACTTTTCCTATCATCCTCATATTTCTATACAGGGTGAAAGGCTGAAAACATTCTTTCGTCTTTATTGCTCCTGTCTAGTTACTTTTGGAACTACATGGAACTTCATATTAAAATCTGTTTTTTTTCTTTTGAATTCAAGATCTATATAAGGAAAACCTACAGATTTCCCTATTCTTATATATTATGAAGAGTATGAGGAAGGACACTATTAAGCAAAGGATCATCCCTGATTTTACCATAAATGTAGACCAGTAATAAGCAGAAAAAGGATTAGTTACAATATTTTAGAAAATTTGATTAAAAGATATAAAGGTGTCATACTCCAATTGGTAACTACAGGGAAAAATTTGTTTAATAGCAAAAGATAATATGAAATTGAAACAGGACAGACAAAAGTATAAATATAATGATTTGAATTGAGATGAGATAATCAAAATAAAGTTGAGAAAATTAAAAGAGGGGAAAAACTACGTAGAAAATATAAAACGGTAATTAGATATGGAATATGAGCATGAAATTGAGTTTTGTGTCTGTATGAAGAAGTGATGACCTGGGACCATGCTATTTTCAAAAAAAGATGTTTTATTTGTATTTTGTTTTTGTGAAAACCCAAATAAAATTTTCAAAAAAAGCAAAGAAAATTTGGTATGTGGTACTGAAGTACTGTATGTGACCAACAGATGTATTTCAACTCAGCCCCTGAAGCATATGTTGTTAGTTATGGGACAGTTCTGAGGGTGATTTTAAGGAATCTTGCAGGGGCATAAAGTACCCAATCCTGTGCCTCTCTTTTTCTTGATTTTGCCAAAATCAAAAACAAGAAAATGCACTCTTGAAAATCAGTGATTTTATTGCCCACTCACTGAAAATCAGTGATTTT